ATTTCTATTCAAATTGGATTACACTGTTCATTTTCAAAAAAGGGTAGAATTAGGAGTTACGGGAAAATCTAATTATGGAAATCAATTTCTTTTAAAAAAGTAAGAGGAATGAAGGAAGGAAGGAAGGAAGGGGATGATCTTTCACTTTCTTGGGATTCCCGAGCATGCGCAAAAACGTAGGATCTCATATAAATTGTCATAATCATTAATCTCTCAAATCCAAATCCAAATCCAAATCCAAGTCCAAGGTGGGTGTGTGTTTTTTCTGTTTGGTTTGGTGCGTGACACACAAACAAAACAGCCTCCGGGAGCCAAGCCTTGTGTCCGGAAGCGGATTAAACCTTAAAACAACAAAAAGAAGTGGACACCATGATGATGATGATTAAAGCTTTATTATTCCTCTTTTTTTTTGTGTGGGAATTAAAAAAAGTGGGGGGAAATTGGGAAAAAGGTGTTGAAATTTGGGGGTGTGTTTTGAAACTTGAAGGTGCACGTACTGCCACGGGAGATGCTGGGAAAATCAACTTTCGGGCTGTCCATGTGGTTGCTCAAGTGGTTCCCCATTGGAGTTGTGGATAGGCTGCTGCTAATGGTGTCGAGGCTGATGCTCGGTGACACTTCCAGATTTGGGCTGGACCGGCCCATTATGGGCCCACTTCGCCTCAAGAACTTCTCCGGCAAGACCCCCGTCCTCGACGTTGGAACCCTCGCCAAGATCAAAACTGGTCACATCAAGGTACTCACTCACTCACTCCACCACTACTCTAATACTCCACTCTTTTTTTCTTTTTCTTTTTTTTTTAATTTCTATTTTTCTGGACCGTTGATGTTTGTAGATACGTCCTAGCATCAAGCGGCTGAGGCGCCACGCTGTGGAGTTTGTTGATGGGAGATTGGAAAATTTTGATTCCATTATATTGGCTACTGGGTATAGAAGCAATGTGCCCTCTTGGCTAAAGGTGAGCCTTTTTACCTTCCTCCCCCCACCTCCACTCCCCATCACTTTTTCCTATTTCTTTAAATCATTATTTAGTTTCAATTATATTATTATTGATCTTATACTCCTACATTGGTTTAACTATAAATTTAAGGTGGGACGGTAGAATTAGTGATTTTGAAAAAATATATTTAAATATGATTGATTTTGATTTGTCAAATATTGATCAATAGAAAGAGAAATGATTTTAAATGACAAATATGATTTTGGCTTATTCTCAAAACACCTTTAGGGGCATTTTTTTTTTTTTTTTTGGAATGCAGATACCCAACATCTTCGAATCTTGGATTCCCACTAGACCCCTTAGTGTTAGGGTTGGTATGTCTTTTCAGAAGAAAGTTATTTTAAGTGAAAACTCATTCGAAAATTAGTTCTACGTTTGTTCTAAAATGTATTTTAGGCTTATTGAAAGTTTGAAAAAGAACTTTTTGAAGTTATCTAAAGTTTGACAACACACTACCAATATTTAAAAAATATATATATAATTTTAGTTATTTCTTTTTTTTTTTTAATTCAATAATACTAGGGATAAATATTTGAACTTCACATTCAGTTGTTAAACTCCTAATTAGTTTTCAACTTCATAAATTTTCAATTATATCTTTATATTTTGAATTTTAATTTTATAGGTAGTTTTTGCCATTAAATGTAGTTACTTTTTTTTAAGTTGAATAACGGATATGAGAATGGAGATTATTCATATGTGTTCAAGTTGGCATTAGAAACTAATGATCCTACCTAAATTAAAATATTTTAAAGAACTTTTTATTTTTTAAATTTGGGAAAGAAGATGGATACATTCCGAAGTAGGCCATTTCAAACATTTTAAATTGGAAAATTAATGTAATACTAAGTATAATTTGAAGAATAGGGGATGGAATTAAAATTTTGATTTTGTTTAGGAGGGAGAAATGTTTGGGAAAGCAGATGGACTGCCGAGGAGACCGTTTCCAAATGGGTGGAAAGGAGAGAATGGGCTATACGCAGTGGGATTCACGAAGCGTGGATTACTCGGCGCGTCAATGGACGCCAAGAGGATCGCCGAGGACATCGAACGGTGTTGGAGAGCGGAGGCCAAGCTCTGCACTCCCACGCCGCAATCTCCACCGTCCACATAACTCCATCAGCGAGGAGGCAAAAATAATCCACAACTCCATTTGAAACGCGGATTATCAAGAAAACAAAAAATCGCCCTTCTTCCTCGTGAATAAGGGAGCTGGGATTCAGTGCTTCTCTGATTCTTCAAGAAAGGAAAAAAGAAAAAAAGGCTAAAGAAAAAGAGAGGGTTGCAGAAAAAAAAAAATAAAGACAAAAATAGAAGGAAAGAAATTACCATGCTCGCCCTCGGGAAGGAGGAGAAACAGAAGACGTGGCTAATTTATTCCAATTGTTTGGTTCCTCGTAAACGGCAGCAGCTACTTTGAACAATTTTTTTTTCTGTGGTTAGAGAGAGAGAAGTAGGAGAGAGAAAGGGGATGTTTGGAAATGCTATTTGTTATAGAATGAGATTTTTCTGATGTTATTTGGGCACAAAAATGGAAAGAGAGGAGGCAAAAAAAGGAAAGATAGAAAATTAAGAGCTTTGCGATTGGTTTTGGGTGATGGATCGGAATAATGTGACTGACACTCGAATAACCGTTAGATGTTGAAGAGAAAGATTGAAAAAAAATCACATTTCTTTAATTATGTATTTTGTTGGAGACAATTATTGTCTAGTTGAGAACTTATGATTCTGTTCTTCATTTTCTTTTACTTATCCTATATTTTTATATAGGATTTTTTGGGAGTAAATGTAAGTTTTTTTCCCTTCTTGTTGGGATGTTCTTTCTTTAATTCAAATTGGGTGATGCTTTCTACGATTTTTCACTCGTTCTCTTTGACTAAAACTACCATTTGATCCGAGCTCGAAGTAGAAAAGGAAGGAAAGAGAGAAGATGGGGGAGAAAATTAAGACCAAATGTGATGGAAAATATGTGAGGAGAGTTTGAGTTTGAAATGATTTTGGGAAATTGGAAATGGTAATTAAGGACCTGTTCTGGTTTCTAAGCATTCTGCAATTAATTATATGTCCGTTTTTGGTTATTTCCGAAATTTCTGATATTACCAAAAGGACCCTATATTTGGGAAGCTTCTAAGGGGATTTCATGGTCAAAATGATTTCTTTTCAAATCCAAGTAGTACATTTGGACTACCATAACTATTGCTTACACCATATATACAAAGGAACTAATTCCAATACGTAGATGTTTATTTTCTAATACTCATTTTTTACAGCCATCACTAAAGTTTTGACAACAGCGGTTGAATTTTGAGTGTCAGTATTTTTCAATGATAAAATTTAACCGTAAAATATATTTTTTGAGTTGGGTTCTTTCTAAGTAAGTGGCCGTAGATATGAAGCATATATTAAGGACAAAATAAAGGGAAAAGGGCGAAGATTTTGAAGGTGTTTTTTATGCTAGATCCTGTCACTCATTTGCTTCGATTCAGTTCACAATTTGGGGTACAAACAAAATACCCAAACAATTCAGTCACTTTCCTCTCCATTTCTCAATTATCTTTATTATTTTGGTTTGACATCCATTAATCAAACCAACCATAACTTGATTATTCTCTCTCGTCTTCCTTTTTAATTTCTAACCCCAGGCATCATAATTTTTGTTTTGT